CATCTTCTTCGATGCTCCATTTATTTAAGAAGAAGGAAGGTAACGACAAAAGAACACTTATGATCCAAATAATAGCAATGGCCTTCTTTACGTTGTCGCCGCTTAACCGCAATTCAGTCCGGAAAGGTTTCAGCAAGGCATGATATCTTTCCACCGCTATCAATGTAAGACTTGTGGAGGACACTATTATACATATTTGAACGAGGGCGAATGACTTGCAAGTGAATTTCTCAAAGTTGTTATTTACACTTCCAAGTTGATACTGGACGACATCGTATAATGGAAGCAACATAACGCTGACGACATCGCTAACGGCCATGTTAGCTAGAAGGTAATTTGTAGGTGTGTGCATTTCACGTGTTTTATGCACGATGTGTATAACCAAGACATTTCCAATAAATCCAGTTATGAAAAATGGGATGGAAGACAAAAATAGAAAAAAATGTAGTCCATTTGGTTTTATCATGATTGACCCTGCCCTGGGATTGTTAATAGAACTCTAAGATCATCCAACCTTTAATACAAGCTGCTAAGTCAGAATTGCGGGGAAATATCCAATTCCAAATTTAATTGGACACTGTTTAAGTAAAAGTCAACATGTACACCTGGCATTAAATAATTTTTACTGAAACGGTCGTTGGACAAAATAAGGCCCGTTTCAAACGTCGTGCTACTGCCGTGCGGAACTCAATTGATCGAGTTAAATTCGACTTTAGCACGGCAGTAGCGCGACGTTTGAAACCAATTCGTGCTACTGCCGTGTAGCAGGGCAAACCTTGCCTTGCCTACCGCCGTGCCGAACTAAATTCATAAATTATAAATACAATAGAATACATTTAAAAGTTTGCTAGACCGTTTCTTTATCTTCGTGTTTTGTTTTCGACAAGAGCCGTCCTATTCGACTGAATTAAATTCGACGTCTGAAACCAAGTCGTGCTAGTGTCTTGCTGCAGTCGAGCTACAGTCGAGCCAGCTTAGCACGGCAGTAACACAACGTTTGAAACAGGCCTAACCTTTGGCGTTACTTCATGAACGTCAGAATCACAATAATTATAATCAAAAAAGCTGTGCATTCAGTTTACTTTTCTTGCGTTAGTTCAGTTATTCCTTTCTTTTCATTCTCCTTTATCATTTATGACTGTGTTTTCAGTATCTTATCTGATTGTGGGTGTAGTCATGTTAGCGGCTGTTTTCATAATAATAATAATAATAATAATAATAATAATAATACTGGTTTATTAACAGCATTTCCATAAAAAAAAGCTGCACATCTGCTAATAAAATATAAAATATATAGTATATATATTCAGCTAGAAAAAGAAAAAAAAAACTATATTTGGAACCATTAAATTACTACCCTTTTCTTCGCTCTTTTATAACGTTGAAGGTCTGTTTGGAAAAAAAAAAAACAAAAATTTGTACAAGATTTGATTGGAGGAGGTAGGGAGTTGAAAATTTTGGACGCACAGTCCTGGAAAGTATTCGTTTCCAGCGGTATTACTAGGTTTATTGTCTCACTAGAGCTAACTCTTGTTTGAGAGTTCAGGGGCACCCAACGGGAAATTTTGAGAAAAACATCTAAAAACAACAACAAAACATGAATGAAGCTTTCTGAAGCCATTTTAAGCATTTTGGGAGATTGCTGGGAAAAATTTATCCGTTTATCCTCACTCCCAGCAAGACTGATGGAAGAGTTCCTAGCCAGAAAGGTGCACCTACGACCTGCAACCTGACTTACTAGGAAGTCTCCTGCAGACGTATATCCAGACATTACTGGCCAGTTTGGGTGTGGTCATACGGTAGAAAATCAGCCCTTCGGTGGTTGCTGACAAATAGTACATACCATCTATACGAGGCACCAAAAGAACCAAATCCCCTCAGACACCCCGAATTGTCTATTTCCCAGCAGCGCTTTCACTTTCCTTCCAAGGACAAATTATTTTTTCCAAATCTTTGCGTAAAGAACGGATATCTTGAGGAACAGATCCATTGGGTGCCTATATCTGAGAGTTAAAGTTTTTCTCTGTCTAAAGGTCAGATTAGACTCGCGGCAGAAGCCAAATTGAGCTTTAAGAAAAACGGTTTACTGATGGAAATGAAAATTGATGCTAGAACTACAGAACAAAAAGGCCCACTTAAAAAACCTTGCTGCCGAGTAACCCTTATGTAGTCACTGTCCAGTATCTCATCACCATGAAAAAAAGAGTTACTCTGTAGCAGCTAACGCCAGACTGATCTCCGAATTTTACCTTAAAGAATTTATGAAGAGAATTTGATAAAAGATCAAAGCTTTTTCCCCTCGATGATCATTTTATTAACTCTCACAACCTTTTCTCTTGATTATGTATGGATATTGTTAGGAGAAAATTGACGCTGGTCACCCTATTTCGGCGGGCGAAGCGAGTCTCGCGAGACTCGCTTCGCTCGCCCAAATAGGAGAGCTTGCTAGCAGGCTAGACTTAAAGGGTTAATAGTCACTGTCAAGTATCTCATCCCGACATACATGAAGAAATGAGGTCTGCCACGAGCTTTCATTAAATAACAAATAATAAGGCTGAAATAAATTGAGTATTTTATCGGCACATATGTTCATATTTAAAATTGCGTCTCACTATTGCCTCACAGACGCCGGAAGTAACTTGAAATGACCATACATTTACCATAAAAACTTATAATGGGTCTGATTAATGCAAAGAAAACTGTGGCAGAATTAACCATTGTTGAAGCAGTATCAAGCCTATCTTGTTGTGTTGATTAGTACAACAGGCTGACGTTGACACATAATAGTCAATGTTCTTAATCAATATGTTAAGAATTCATAAACATGCAAACAGAAGCACCTGCCTATTGATTATATTGAACCTTTTTGAAAGAAATTTAAATATAAAGTGCAAAACGGTTTGCCGGCGGGGAGAAAAGAAAACATAAAAGTAAAATGGAGTGTTCTTTGTATGACTGAGTTTGTCATGAATGTCCGGGGGGTACTCTCTATCATGGCCTATAGGGGGAGGTTGCCCCCAAAAGGGGTAAGGATTTCACTGATTTAGAAGTCAGTAATCGGCCCCTTTTGAAGTATATAAAGGGTAGAAAAATCTCTCTTTCCTTCTGTAAAAGGAGCTAAAAGGGCTAATAGAAGAAATATGACTGTGAAAAAGTCGGAAAATTTTTTTTCCGGTCAAAAATCTGCGTTACAACATTCACTGTTTCCAAAATAATGCGCAATATGCATACCTCCATGACTAGTACATTTTAGTTTGAATTTATCGCATCTTTTTAATGTAAAACATTGACAATACTCACACTGAAATGCACTAGTCATGGATATAGGTATTGTCCGCATAAATTTGGAAAAATTAGCATAACGTCAAAATAGTGAAAGCTGTAGCGCGGATTTTTGACCGGTTCGTAGGATAGGATTGTCTTGAAATTTCAAGGTGTTGCAGTGAATCAATCTCAATGAACAAAATTCGTTCGAGTCGTTTCAGAGATGTACAAAAAAGTGCTAAAAGTCCAAATTTTGAATGAAGTTGAATTTAGACAGGTGGTGAGAAAACGGGTTTATTTTTAAGACCGCAAGAACGAAAATACACCAAAATTTCCTAGCATCGAGATATGATATGATATTAAGCACAGTTCTGACGCTACTTAAGAATAATTTGAGTCATTTTTTTAAAATAATCTATCACGGCTATTGAAAATTTAAGGTTTGAAATATATTTTCGTTTTAGTCGAATTCAAACATACAGAATTTTTTACTTCTTACGGAGGTTATTTGCTAAACACCAAACTTTAAGTTCCCAGTGTTGGATTTTCAGTAGCAGGTCTAGATCGCGCAAAATTAGGCGTTTATCAATTTCAAAGTTTTTTGTTTATTGTTGTCATAGTAATATCGATTTTACTAAAACCTACATTTTGACAAATTTCAATCTATAGTCAATCGTCGGTAAAAATTTGATATCGATCAGACAAGGAGAAAATCACTTTTAAAGCGATTGAAAAATACCGGTATGGCCTCTGAAAAACTATATCGAAACACCTTAATAATGTATTTTTTTTCTAGCTGAATATATATACTATATATTTTATATTTTATTAGCAGATGTATACAGCCATTTTTTTATGGAAATGCGGTTAATAAACCAGTATTATTATTATCATTATTATTATTATTATTATTGTTATTATTATTATAAGAACAGCCGCTAACGACTACACCGGCAAAATCAGATAAGATACTGAAAACACAGTCATAAATGATAAAGGAGAATAAAAAGAAAGAAATAACTGAACTAACGCAAGAAAAGTAAACTGAATGCACAGCTTTTTTGATTATAATTATTGTGATTCTGACGTCCATGAAATAACGCCAAAGGTTAGGCCTGTTTCAAACGTTGTGTTACTGCCGTGCTAAGCTGGCTCGACTGTAGCTCGACTGCAGCAAGACACTAGCACGACTTGGTTTCAGATGTCGAATTTAATTCAGTCGAATAGAACGGCTCTTGTCGAAAACAAAACACAAAAATAAAGAAACGGTCTAGCAAACTTTTAAATGTATTCTAATGTATTTATAATTTATGAATTGAGTTCGGCACGGCGGTAGCACGACGTTTGAAACCAAGTCGAGCTACTGCCGTGTAGCACGGCAAGGCTTGCGCCATGCAACACGGCACTGCCGTGCTAAAGTCGAATTTTAATTTGATCAATTGAGTTCAGGCAAGGCAGTAGCACGACGTTTGAAACGGGCCTTATTTTGTCCAACGACCGTTTCACTAAAAATTATTTAATGCCAGGTGTACCTGTTGACTGTCACTTAAACAGTGTCCAATTAAATCTGGAAGACGAATTGGATATTTCGCCGCTATTCTGACTTGACAGCTTGTATTAAAGGTTGGATGATCCTAGCGACGGACTACCAAAAGCAAATTTGGAAGAGTTCTATTAACAATCCCAGGGCAGGGTCAATCATGATACAACCAAATGGACTACATTTTGTTCTATTTTTGTCTTCCATCCCATTTTTCATAACTGGATTTATTGGAAATGTCTTGGTTATACACATCGTGCATAAAACACGTGAAATGCAAACACCTACAAATTATCTTCTAGCTAGCATGGCCGTTAGCGATGTCGTCAGCGTTATGTTGCTTCCATTATACGAGGTCGTCCAGTATCAACTTGGAAGTGTAAATAACAACTTTGAGAAATTCACTTGCAAGTCATTCGCCCTCGTTCAAATATGTATAACAGTGTCCTCCACAACTCTTACATTGATAGCGGTGGAAAGATATCATGCCTTGCTGAAACCTTTCCGGACTGAATTGCGGTTAAGCGACGACAACGTAAAGAAGGCCATTGCTATTATTTGGATCATAAGTGTTCTTTTGTCGTTACCTTCCTTCTTCTTAAATAAATGGAGCATCGAAGAAGATGCAGTTGAGGCCTCCCCATGCGTTGGTCCGTGGACTTTAAGCATGAATCAAGCAAGCAAAATTTATTTGATCGTACACGCGTCAATTTTCTTTATTCAATTGACAACCATGTGTTACTGCTATGCATCTCTTATCAAGGGACTTTATTTTACCAACACAGTGTGTCCAGAAGAAACGGAAGGAGAAAGAGGTTCAGAGAGGAAGAAACTCGTTTTGACATTTCTCTTAGCAACCACGGGATTTTTGATCGGTTATGCCCCTGGAATTTTGTTCGACGCAATTGTCGCATCACGGGAAGTTCAACACGAAGACTTATTATTGTACTCTGTTCTTAGAGCTGTGCTTGCCTTTTTGTTCAAATGTAGTTTATGTCTAAACCCAATTTTCTACGCCTTTCGCAGTGCGCACTTTAAGCAAGGTTTTAAACGGCTTCTGAAATGCCGAGAGTCTACATCACAGAATGAGATTCAGCTTGGAGCATAACATTCTCTTTGTTATTACAGGTCACGGAGATCAACGCTAACATAATTGCTAGCTGAGGACTTTTTTGTACACAAACATGGCCACCGTGACGTCATGCGAAAACGATCTATTGCGGGCCAATTAATTAACAGCATGGTCCAATGGGTCTATTTGAATTATCTTAGCGATAATGTAAACTACGTCAATTTTCGCTTGTCTACTAACTCATATGCGTGCAATGAATATTATAACTAACAAAACCGATAATTCTTGCGAACAATTTCTTTGAACAAATTTCCAAAGTCTATTTAAAAAAAAGAAAAAAAAAACAGAAAAACCTGAAGAATTAATCATGGTCGAAACCGATAGCCTAAGTTTTATCTTGTCTTGCTGTTCCATACCATTTTACATCAGTGGACTCATCGGCAATGTGTTGGTCATTCGAGTCGTACACAAAACAAGGGAGATGCACACCCCTACAAATTATCTTTTAGTTAGCATAGCCGTTAGCGATGTCTTCACCATAATGATGTTTGCAGCTCACGGGTTTGCCTTCAGTCAATATGTAAATGATGAAAATTTCGTGCACTACTTGGTTTGCAAGGCATCGGCCGACATTACAACCGTCGCAATAGTTTCTTCCATTACTCTTACTGTGCTAGCCGTAGAAAGATACAACGCTTTGCTCAAGCCTTTAAGAACGGGATTACGATTAAGTGAAGACAATATTAAAAAGGCCATCGCTCTGATTTGGGTGACAAGTGTTTTTGTATCCATCCCAAATGCCTTCTTTCAAGAATTCGATCGAAGCAATCGCTTTCTCTCAGGATGTGTTGGTAAAGGGGATTCAAATATCAATCTAGCGTGGAAGACTTACTTGATTGTATTTGACGCCTTTTTTGATACAATCGGTAGTCCAGGTATTTTGCTATGGTTCCTTGATCAGAGGTCTCTACTTGACCAACGCAGTTTGCCAAGAAACTGAAACCACTGATTGCAAGAGAAGCTCGGAGAAGAAGAAACTTGTTATCACATTCCCTCTAGCGACTGTCGGGTTCTTGATCGGTTATGTACAATCCATGGCCTTCTATACAGTTGTTACATTTCAAACCAACTCGAATATAGATATCAACCTGTACTCTGATCTCAAGAATGGGTTTCAGTTTTTGTGTGGCTACAGTCTATGTTTAAATTCACTCGTTTACGCTTTTCGAAGTGCCCATTTTAAAGAGGGATTCAGACGCGTTCTAACAACTTGTTGGAAGCCAACTCCACAGGATGACAACGTTCAGTGTTTCAGATACTTTTTTCATTTCAAGTCCCAATGTGAAGTCGAAGAAAAGCTGAGGTCCGAGAACTTTGCAGCAACACAAACAGTAGGATTTGACAATGCTGAATAAAATGCAAATGATCATGATGCCGATTTTTCTGCTTGTTCCTGTTGTTATTTGTGCATAATCATTCTGGGAGGATCCTTGCAGTTTGGAGAAAACCAGAGAAAAAATTAAGTGATCATAGAAAACCATAGGTTCTTCTGCTTTCATTATTAGATCGAGAGATAAGTACATTGAAAAAACCTCTTTTATGTACATAAAGGCATAGCTTCGCCAATTCGAGATACGATAGTCAGACGATATTTGACTGATAACAAAGGCTTCGCAGCCAAACGTTTAGTTGTCTCCTAAGACAGCTTTTCTGAGTATAGTACTTAACAAACTTGACAATTTTTTTTGAGACACTGTTTATTTGAACTCTTTTTAGACCGGGCTTTCTTAATTACTAGAGTTCTTAGAAGCGGACGGGGTATTGCCCTCGCTGTAATCAACTATTGAGGCTTTAACAGACAAACGTGGAATGTAACAGCGATTCAAAAAGGTGTCTAAGATAAAAGTTTACACGTCAAGACAACATTATACGCCTTGCGAAATTGCCGCCATGACTAAATAAGTGGTCATCTTAGACCTGTCATTCTAGGATCAGCAGTCCTGGGTTTTCGTCACTAAGAAAACAACCTGAACTCTGGAAAAATTAATTTACAAAAGAATGAAAGACGCCAAAGTGATCTGAATTTGTGAGAAAAGTATAGATTCTTTAGGTTCAGCATGGAAACATCACATCCAAAACAGCAATCGTTTAGACAAAAAATTGGCGCGACAAATCTCTTGGAGAGTTTAAGGGGAATTGAGCCATGGTAATATAACTGTTCATGTAAAGATTAGGCCAATGTTCGTCAAAACCATCCGCGAGTTTTGATGTTTAATAAGGCATCAGCTTTAAAATGGTATAACGACGCCGGCGAAGCTGATGATGATTCTGCAGTATATTCTGATCACAAACTAATTCTTTTTTTAGGATTCAATTTCCAACATCAGTGCCATATATTGAAGGATATATAATTCGTTACTAATTTTGACTGAGTCCATTTTACCCAATTAAACTCACTCTAAGAATATTGCTTTTTCTTTTCATTTTTTTTAGGCGCGTAAAATGTAAAATAAAGCCGAAGCTACACAATTTAGGCAGGTGTTATAGAGCCATAAAGAAACCGGATAACCAAAGCGAATTGTTTTCGTATTACTTTAAGGAGAGCGAAGAAAAGGAAGAAAAAAATTAAAAGGAAGCAGGAGATAACTTCTTTAAATTTGCTACTAGCAAAGAAGCTAGATAAACCGAGCGTGCTTGTTGGTAAGTAACGTCGAAAGCGTTTCACCTGTTAGAGTTAATCATGAAGCTTTCTCAGGGACCGCGGAGACCATTTTAAGGTGGTAGGGCTGAAAACTCTGGCCAATATACAGAAACATTCAGGTCGGTGTTTCTCCATTTATCTTGCATTTGGGCGCCACCTTATTTACCACCTCAACAAATATAACATAAACGTCCACACGTGTTATACTATCCGATATAGCCAATATGTTAAATAAACCTCCTGAGGTTGCTACTTTTTGAAGTTGCCCGAAAACCAGTATTATTATTATTATTATTATTATTATTATTATTATTATTGTTGTTATTATTATTATAAGAACAGCCGCTAACGACTAAACCGGCAAAATCAGATAAGATACTGAAAACACAGTCATAAATGATAAAGGAGAATAAAAAGAAAGAAATAACTGAACTAACGCAAGAAAAGTAAACTGAATGCACAGCTTTTTTGATTATAATTATTGTGATTCTGGCGTCCCTGAAATAACGCCAAAGGTTAGGCCTGTTTCAAACGTTGTGTTACTGCCGTGTTAAGCTGGCTCGACTGTAGCTCGACTGCAGCAAGACACTAGCACGACTTGGTTTCAGACGTCGAATTTAATTCAGTCAAATAGAACGGCTCTTGTCGAAAACAAAACACAAAAATAAAGAAACGGTCTAGCAAACTTTTAAATGTATTCTAATGTATTTATAATTTATGAATTGAGTTCGGCACGGCGGTAGCACGACGTTTGAAACCAAGTCGAGCTACTGCCGTGTAGCACGGCAAGGCTTGCGCCATGCATGCAACACGGCAGTAGCACGAATTGGTTTCAAACGTCGCGCTACTGCCATGCTAAAGTCGAATTTAATTTGATCAATTGAGTTCGGCACGGCAGTAGCACGAAGTTTGAAACGGGCCTTATTTTGTCCAACGACCGTTTCACTAAAAATTATTTAATGCCAGGTGTACCTGTTGACTGTCACTTAAACAGTGTCCAATTAAATTTGGAAGACGAATTGGATATTTCGTCGCTATTCTGACTTGACAGCTTGTATTAAAGGTTGGATGATCCTAGCGACGGACTACCAAAAGCAAATTTGGAAGAGTTCTGTTAACAATCCCAGGCAGAGTCAATCATGATAAAACCAAATGGACTACATTTTGTTCTATTTTTGTCTTCCATCCCATTTTTCATAACTGGATTTATTGGAAATGTCTTGGTTATACACATCGTGCATAAAACACGTGAAATGCAAACACCTACAAATTATCTTCTAGCTAACATGGCCGTTAGCGATGTCGTCAGCGTCATGTTGCTTCCATTATACGAGGTTGTCCAGTATCAACTTGGAAGTGTAAATAACAACTTTGAGAAATTCACTTGCAAGTCAGTCGCCCTCGTTCAAATATGTATAATAGTGTCCTCCACAACTCTTACATTGATAGCGGTGGAAAGATATCATGCCTTGCTGAAACCTTTCCGGACTGAATTGCGGTTAAGCGACGACAACGTAAAGAAGGCCATTGCTATTATTTGGATCATAAGTGTTCTTTTGTCGTTACCTTCCTTCTTCTTAAATAAATGGAGCATCGAAGAAGATGCAGTTGAGGCCTCCCCATGCGTTGGTCCGTGGACTTTAAGCATGAATCAAGCAAGCAAAATTTATTTGATCGTACACGCGTCCATTTTCTTTATTCAATTGACAACCATGTGTTACTGCTATGCATCTCTTATCAAGGGACTTTATTTTACCAACACAGTGTGTCCAGAAGAAACGGAAGGAGAAAGAGGTTCAGAAAGGAAGAAACTCGTTTTGACATTTTTCTTAGCAACCACGGGATTTTTGATCGGTTATGCCCCTGAAATTTTGTTCTACACAATTGTCGCATCACGGGAAGTTCAACAGGAAGACTTATTATTGTACTCTGTTCTTAGAGCTGTGCTATCCTTTTTGTTAGAGTGTAGTTTATGTCTAAACCCAATTTTCTACGCCTTTCGCAGTGCGCACTTTAAGCAAGGTTTTAAACGGCTTCTGAAATGCCGAGAGTCTACATCACAGAATGAGATTCAGCTTGGAGCATAACATTCTCTTTGTTATTACTGGTCACGAAGATCAACGCTTACATAATTGCTAGCTGAGGACTTTCTTTGTACACAAACATGGCCGCCGTGACGTCATGCGAAAACGATCTATTGGTGGCCAATTAATTAACAGCATGGTCCAATGGGTCTATTTGAATTATCTTAGCGACAATGTAAACTACGTCAATTTTCGCTTGTCTTCTAACCCATATGCGTGCAATGAATATTATAACTAACAAAACCGATAATTCTTGCGAACAATTTCTTTGAACAAATTTCCAAAGTCTAGTAAAAAAAAAAAAAAAAAAAAAAAAAAAAACAGAAAAACCTGAAGAATTAATCATGGTCGAAACCGATAGCCTAAGTTTTATCTTGTCTTGCTGTTCCATACCATTTTACATCAGTGGACTCATCGGAAATGTGTTGATCATTCGAATCGTACACAAAACAAGGGAGATGCACACCCCTACAAATTATCTTTTAGCTAGCATGGTCGTTAGCGATGTCTTCACCATAATGATGTTTGCAGCTCACGGGTTTGCCTTCAGTCAATATGTAAATGATGAAAATTTCGTGCACTACTTGGTTTGCAAGGCATCGGCCCTCATTACAACCTTCGCAATAGTTTCTTCCATTACTCTTACTGTGCTAGCCGTAGAAAGATACAACGCTTTGCCTAAGCCTTTAAGAACGGGATTACAATTAAGTGAAGACAATATAAAAAAGGCCATCGCTCTGATTTGGGTGACAAGTGCTGGACAAGTGTTTTTGTATCCATCCCGAATGCCTTCTTTCAAGAATTCGATCGAAGCAATCGCGTTCTCTCAGGATGTGTTGGTCGAGGGGATTCAAATATCAATCTAGCGTGGAAGACTTACTTGATTGTATTTGACGCCCTTTTTTTGATACAATCGGTTGTCATGGTATTTTGCTATGGTTCCTTGACAGGAAAAAAGGCGGTGGTGGTATTTTGGCTCTCATCTCCACCGTAGTCCCATGTAGGAGATTAAAACCTGATCGTCACTACCATTGTCTAGAGCCAATTGTGCTGGATGTGAAAATTGGGAAGATAAACATGATAATAATTGGTCTTTACCGACCACCTAGGCCATTAGTGGGAGCATACCAGCAATCGCTAGAGGAAGAACTGAACCACATTTGTAGTTGGGCGTCGCTTCAAAGAGAAGCAGTGACTGTTATTGGTGACCTTAACCTAGATAGGCTAAGGCCTCAGAGAAAGGAGGGCAAATTACTCCTGGACCTTGAAATGGTGCAGGGCTTTGAATGTCTTATAAAGCAGTCAACTAGATTGGATAGAAACGGAACAACAACAACAGCCACGCTTATCGATGTACTGCTGACCAACCAACCAGACCTGTTCATTGGAGGAGGAGTTTACGACCCTGCTCTAAGTGATCATATGCTCATCTATGGTATAATGAAAGAAAAAGCGAGGAAACATTCACGTAGAATCATCCATTTCAGGAGTTACAAAAATTTTGATCCGGTGAAATATGATAACCTACTAACGACGGCACCTTGGCATGTCGGAAACTTGTTTGATGATGTTGAGGACAAGGTGTATTATTGGAATACAATCATGCAAGACATTATGGACGAATGCTTCCCTCAGAAAAAGAAGCGAGTTAGGGATAAAGACATACCCTATATGACGACCGCATGGAAAAATGCCATCCGAGCAAAGAGAAGAGCTTTTAAGAAGTATCTAAATGAAAGGACACAACAAAACTGGGAAGAGAAAGTGAAATGTCGAAATGATTCAACCAGACAAAGAAGAATTGCTGTACGGCAATACTGGAAGAAAAAGATGTCTGACCTTAAAGAAAACCCAAGAACGTTCTTTGAAACTTTTAAACCGTTTCTTGGATCCAAGAAAGGGGTCTTGGGAACTGATAGTAACTTAAAAGTTGACGGCAAGATCATTAGCAACCAAGAGACTGTTGCGGAAATATTAGCAGGTCACTTTGCTACGATAGCAAGCGATATTGGAGATGTCAACTTAAGAAACTCCTCGGAGAATGACTTAAATAATCATCCAAGTGTCTTGCAAATACAAATGGCGAGTAGTTCAGAACCAATGATCGAGTCCAATCCAGGGGGGAATGGACGCCCGTCTTTAAGAAAGAGGATCCACAAGATTGTCCGAACTATCGACCAATAACTGTCCTTCCAGTGGTTGGTAAGGTGTTCGAGCAGCTACTTAGCGACCAGATCTCTAAGCAGTTTGACAGCTGTCTGGATCCCCGAATTACGGCATATCGTAAACGCCACAGTTGTGAAACAACATTGATACGTCTTATTGAAGCGTGGAAATCAGCACGTGATAACCAGCAAATTGTTAAAATCTTATCTACCGACTTGAGTAAGGCTTTTGATTCGCTTCATCCGTCCTTAATGATCAGCAAATTAAAAGCGTATGGTTTTAATGACGAACTATGTGATCTACTTCGATCTTACCTGTGTAATCGACTGAACCGAGTGAAACTGGGAGCTTTCAGAAGTGAATGGAAGCGTACAGATAGGGGTCGTCCACAAGGATCGGCCCTTGGCCCATTGTTATGGAACATCTTTCAAAACGATCTGACATACGTGATTTATTAATATTATTTATTTATTTATTAAATTAACTCTGTATAAATCAGCCATATTGCCTTACTTAACCTATTGCCACCTGACGTGGCATTTCTGTAGTGCTACCGACAAAAGAAAGTTTGAACGGGTCCAAGAAAGAGCACTACGCGCAGTTTTCCTAGATAAGCAATCAAGCTACCAAGCATTGCTGGACAAAAGTGACCTAACGACTCTTCAGAACAGAAGACTGCAAGATATTGCTATCCTTATGTATAAGGTGAAACACAAACTATGCCCCATTAAAATATCCGAGCTATTTCACGCGCATTGCTCACCCTACAACTTGAGGACGGCAGAGTTCGCCATTCCCAGATTTAGGACCAATAAATATGGTAAACACTCGCTCACCTATCGGGGACCAAAGTTGTGGAATAAGCTACCAAGCGAAATCAGAACTCTCCCATCATTATTTAGTTTCAAAAATTGTATTCGTAAATTTGATCTAGGTGTAATGATAGACGACGACAATTGCTCCAATTGCATCCTTTGTAATTCTTAATCTTTTTAAATCAATTATTTCATTAGTTGATAGTTAGTAGGTTTTTAACTATATTATATTGTTAGGTAACTATATTATATTGTTAGGTGTCCCTAATTAGTAGAGGGGTTCTTAACCCCATCGGCTAGACATTCCAAGACACATTAATAAAGTTTTATGTATATGTATGATCAGAGGTCTCTACTTTACCAACGCAGTTTGCCAAGAAACTGAAACCACTGATGGCGAGAGAAGCTCGGAGAAGAAGAAACTTGTTATCACATTCCTTCTAGCGACTGTCGGGTTTTTGATCGGTTATGTACATTCCATGGCGTTCTATACAGTTGTTACATTTCAAACCAACGCGAATGTAGATATCAACCTGTACTCTGATCTCGAGAATGGGTTTCAGTTTTTGTTTGGCTACAGTCTATGTTTAAATCCACTCGTTTACGCTTTTCGAAGTGCCCATTTTAAAGAGGGATTCAGACGCGTTCTAACAACTTGTTGGAAGCCAACTCCACAGGATGACAACGTTCAGTGTTTCAGATACTTTTTTCTTTTGATGTCCCAACATGAAGTCGAAGAAAAGCTGAGGTCCGAGAACTTTGCAGCAACACAAACAATAGAATTTGACAATGCTGAATAAAATGCAAATGATCATGATGCCGATTTTTCTGCTTGTTACTGTTGTTATTTGTGCATAATCATTCTGGGAGGATCCTTGCAGTTTGGAGAAAACCAGAGAAAAAATTAAGTGATCATAGAAAACCATAGGTTCTTCTGCTTTCATTATTAGATCGAGAGATAAGTACATTGAAAAAATCTCTTTTATGTACATAAAGGCATAGCTTCGCCAATTCGAGATACGATAGTCAGACGATATTTGACTGATAACAAAGGCTTCGCAGCCAAACGTTTAGTTGTCTCCTAAGATAGCCTTTCTGAGTATAGCACTTAACAAACTTGACAATTTTTTTTTGAGACACTGTTTATTTGAACTCTTTTTAGACCGGGCTTTCTTAATAAATAGAGTTCTTAGAAGCGGACGGGGTACTGCCCTCGCTGTAATCAACTATTCAGGCTTTAACAGACAAACGTGGAAGGTAACGGCGATTCAAAAAGGTGTATAAGATAAAAGTTTACACGTCAAGACAACATTATACGCCTTGCGAAATTGCCGCCATGACTAAATAAGTGGTCATCTTAGACCTGTCATTCTAGGATCAGCAGTCCTGGGTTTTCGTCACTAAGAAAACAGCCTGAACTCTGGAAAAATTAATTTACAAAAGAATGAAAGACGCCAAAGTGATCTGAATTTGTGAGAAAAGTATAGATTCTTTAGGTTCAACATGGAAACATCACATCCAAAACAGCAATCTTTTAGACAAAAACTTGGCGCGACAAATCTCTTGGAGAGTTTAAGGGGAATTGAGCCACGGTAATATAACTGTTCATGTAAAGATTAGGCCAATGCTCGTCAAAACCATCCACGAGTTTTGATGTTTAATAAGGCATCAGCTTTAAAATGGTATAACGACACCGGCGAAGCTGATAATGATTCTGCAGTATATTCTGATCACAAACTAATTCTTTTTTTAGGGTTCAATTTCCAACATCAGTGCCATATATTGAAGGATATATAATTCGTTTCTTATTTTGACTGAGTCCATTTTACCCAATTAAACTCACTCTAAGAATATTGCTTTTTCTTTTCATTTTTCTTGGGCGCGTAAAATGTAAAATAAAGCCGAAGATAAACAATTTAGGCACCATATGTACGGAAGGCATATTGCGGACCTACCAAAGCGAATTGTTTTCGTATTACTTTAAGGAGAGTGAAGAAAAGGAAGAAACAAATTAAAGGAAGCAGGAGATAACTGCTTCAAATTTGCTACTAGCAAAGAAGCTAGATAAACCGAGCGTGCTTGTTGGTAAGTAACGTCGAAAGCTTTTCACCTGTTAGAGTTAATCATGAAGCTTTCTCAGGGACCGCGGAGACCATTTTAAGGTGGTAGGGCTAAAAACTCTGGCCAATATACAGAAACATTCAGGTCGGTGTTTCGCCATTTATCTTGCATTTGCGCGCCACCTTATTTACCACCTCAACAAATATAACATAAACGTCCACACGTGTTATACTATCCGATATAGCCAATATGTTAAATAAACCTCCTGAGGTTGCTACTTTTTGAAGTTGCCCGAAGTGCCGAAGCTTCTTTTGCGATTCTTATTGCAGGAAACAAACTCTTGTGTAGGGCTATAGCCCTACCAGCCCCTCCCCCTCCGCGGTCCCTGTCTGAGCAGTAAATTCGGGTACTGTTTATTACCCCTGGTTCTAAAACTTTAATTGTAACCATAAATATAGGACCCCTCCTCTGACAGGATGACCTGACCCTTTGAAATGATGTCGTTTGTAGTGTAAGAGCTATCAATTGTTGCACTAACCTGAGGTATGCATGAGATATCATGTTATAAAAATAATGTGCTTCTGTCCAATGCAAGCACAAACCTCACCACCAATGAAGTACCTTATTTTCCGCCTGCCTGTTACATTTAATAGAAGAACAAAGAAAGAATAAGAACAGTTAGGTATGGAGAAACATTAAGGCGCCTTTGGAAGTCCATGCCTGGATCTGCACTAGTAATAACGCATATTTAGTGATCTTAAACTAAAATATATTTGAGAATTTCTTCACAAAACTCGTGTGACCATTCAAATTAAAGCCATAGAGCAACACTTTAATTACTCTGTTCCAAGCATGCATTAATTCAGACAGTAAGGACGATGCAAACTAAGAGAAGTGAGTAAGAAAAACCAACAAGGGTGGAGGGTGGTAGAAGAGAGGGAGAAAGGACGCTGTTTCCTCCTCCTCTCTCTCTCTCAGCTCTCTTTCACTTCCTACGTTAACTACACCGACTACCCTAGTGGACTACATTAACTCCAACGACTGCATTGACCACACCGGCCACACCTAGCCTACTACACCAACTACGCTGACAGATACCGACTTCACGGACTACACTGACTACACCAGCCATACCTCCTAAACCATCTACACCGGCTAAATTGCCACTCCGATTACATTGACTACATCAACTACACTGACTACTCTAATATTATCAGATTACTGGCATAATTTTAAACTTGAGTGCCAGTGCTTCTGCAGTGTGAATTCGTGACGGTAGTCATGGACTGATTTACAGCAGAAATTTAATACAGCAGAGCCTCCGGAGTATGTGGCCGACCAAAATACGAGAATCAGAGAAAACACGGTCTGAAAACTGCACATAAGTGAAAACAAGAGCATATAAGTGAAGACAAGCGCGAATATAGCTGACGAAAAGTGCTGAAAAGTAACGAGAAGTGCACACTGATGAAGAGACAAAGGTGTATAGGTGAATGAAAGTGCGTATAAGTGAAAAAGAGAATCTACGATTGAAGTCAGGCGTACATAACCGAAGGAAAGTGCACAAAGGTGAGGGTAAAGCATATGGGTGAGGCAAGTGCATATAGGTGAAACCAAGCGTATATAAGTAAACTCAAGCGCTGATAGATGAAAGCAAGTGCATATAAGACTATTATGTGATGGCGAGTTCATATTGATGAATACAAGTTCAATTATAGCCTGTGTGCAGACGCCCCCTCCTCTCAGAAAAAATTCAAAAAAATTCTGATTTTTTTTTGTCAGAGTAGGAGGCGTCTGTACACAGTCAAGTGCAATTAGTGAAGGCAAGTGAGGCGAAGGCGAGGACGTATAAGTGAGGTTAAAAAAATTTAAGTTAAGCTGAGTGAATATAGGTGAAGTTAAGTGAATTATGCAAGTGAATGTTGGCAAAGTCTATTATACTATGTGTCAAAAAGTGGCCGCGTTTGCCTATGAGAAGTGGTCGTTTAACAGCCGAGAGGTTCCAGCAATAGTGCTTTGACTGGGATTTTTTGTCTTTAGTTTGGAAGATGTGGTCTCCTATGATATGTGCTAGCACATGGAGATTCGACCGTAACATTCCTCACGTACTCACTTCCTCTACAATAATACAGAAATCCCTGTGGTGGAGAACCTTTCCTTTGGTTTCCTTTGACAGGAAGAGCGTTTTAAGAGAAATGATAATAAATAAGCATTGCAAACGTTATTAATTATAACACTAACGTGAGGTATGAGAGATCCAAAGTCATCACAAACCTCCACGTTAGCCTTATTTCCCGTTAGTTACAATAGAAGAAGAATAAAGAAAAACATACAGTCTGATAAGAATTAAATAAGACGCTTACTATTCACGGACCACTCTATAATGCTTGAGTAGCTTCATGTTTGTGACCATTCAAATGTAAGCCACTGAGCAGCACTTTTCTGTGATTCTGTCTATGTTATACTGTATATGGTTTCAACTTCCCTGTATCTGGATAAGGCCTGTACCGGTCTGACCATTTTTATTTACCTTTTAGGAGCTGTTACCGAACTGAAGTGTTGTGGCATAGCTTATCATTGCACAGCCTGTAAAAGAAGGTTCTGATCGACGTACGAAAATGTTGGGCCTTAAGCGTGTGTTACTCAAAATAATGGAAGCGATCCAGCAAGTAGTGCTTTAATGTGGCGGATCAGTTTTCTAATGCCGTACGTACAATGTGCTTTTTAACCTTGTGGTCCTTAGGTAGCACCGCTCTCCGTGGTGTGCTTTCAGAAGCAGAAGCGTCTGTCGTCTGAGGATTGCACCCCTCCACTCAATGAAAAAAACTCTTAAAAGACTATAAATGATCACTATTAAAGCAACTGACTTTCACCCTCTAACCTGAAATATAAGAGATTTCTGCATCTGTTCTCTGTGACTAATGCAATCACACATTGGTATGAATCGAGGTCGTTGATAATGTTAACCACCTGAAAAGAAAAAAAATATTAAGATAAGCACGTGATAGGGCTTAAGTAATCATAACGTGTACGTAACTAAGGATCTGAAGTCAAAATCATCATCATCATCATCATTTCTCGACTGCTTAACTTGTGACTCCACTATTTGTGGGCACTTGTAGGTTCCCCTAATTTTCTCCAAGAAGACGTTTAGTTTACTGTTGATAAAAAGGTTTTGGCTGGCAGGTCCATATTTTCCTGCGTTTAGGCGAGTACAAAACTTAAAGTTGACCTGCTCTATAATTTCGACACCTCTTTATTTTGAACAACTCTTTTGGCCCTGATGTTACCGCACTTTTACAATCCATACGTCTTTAATACAATACGTCTCTATAATGAACAGTTCTGGGTCCTTCTCTTTGTTATCGTTTCAAAGACAGATTGTTTTAAAGAATGTGAATTGCCATTCCAAAGGGTAGTAACTGTGACACTAACGTGACAGTGCTGTTTGTGTCTAAAGCAAGCCGGAAGAGACCTTCAAGTCAGTATGACCATATTTCGCCTCTGTCAGTAAAGAAACTGAAAACCATATACACTCAGATAGTTTAACCTAACCACAGACAGTGAAAAGTCTATTTATTGTAAAGAGTTACAATTTCATAACGAAGATGAACAACATGGTTTACCCCCCCCCTCCCACAAAAGTGCAATGACGCAGGGTTGTTATCTGAAATCCAGACACCGAAATGTAAGCAAAAAAACGAGGCTTAGCAGATCGATTTGCGCAGTAAAAACATTTTTTGGGACATTTTCTACCATTTATCTAAATGGAAATTGTTATTAGTGACAGCTGTAAAACGAAGATTTTTGCCTATATCTTGTTTTTATTTATGTCTGCGTTCGGTACAACCATTCTGTCCTTACAATACAGGGACCAAGGAGCAAGACTCAGAGTTGGGGGAAACTTAAGGGTAAGCACAGTGGGGGGGGGGGGGGGGGGGGGGGGTTGGATATAGCGGGCAATCTCTCTTTCAGAAAATTTTGAAATTTGCTAGGCTCCCTGACGAGGGTAGAAATGCATATAAAACTATTATCCTCTAATAGTGATAATGCACTAATCTAAATTTCGAAATAAAAAGAACACAAAGAACAAAAAAATTCCCAAAGAGGTCAGCAAATGAATGAAAAATTTAAAACTGAAGTAGTTTCGAAAGTTATGAATCTGATACTCTAAAAAAAACCATTATAGCAATTTTTTGAGACCATCTCAACAAGTGGAAGAGAGGCTAATGTCCCCACAACCCATCCCGAGGTCCCTTTAACCTTTTTCGAACGGGGTTTCTTTTAAAATCTTGTAAGTCACTCGCTTTCTGCTCGTGATTTACAAGCTTTCCTCGTGTTCTCCCAACATCCCGTGTGGGTTATCACGCCGGTAAATCCATAGAAAGTATGGTCTAATGCTTAAGTAAACTTCGAAGGTCGAGCTCCTTGAGTTCACGTTTAAAAAATGCGGTAGTTATCGATATTTCTTAAATTATTACTAATAGTGCTCCATAGTCGGGAAGCCTGGTATCTCCTATCCATGACTTGATCCCATACCTTGTAGAATTTACTTTAAATAATTTTAAAATAGCATTACCACGTAAATTATAATTAGAATTATGTGCCATCAATAACTCGCAAATACTTGTAGGTGCGTTTCCCTTCCCAATTGCTCCAAACACTGTATTTAACATTTTTGCAAGTCTTCGATTTGCTAATATGCTATATCCATTTTTAACAACTAGTGTCTCATAAGTAGAGATTTTATCCTGGTAAACGAAGAGGAGTGCGCGCTCGTTCAGTTTTTCGAGTTTTTCTGCTAGGCGTTTACTACAGAAATGCCAAGACTCGGCACAATAATAAAAATATGGGCCAATAAATGCTCTATAAAGTTTCCTGTAGCTTTAAAGGAAGCAACTTCTACATCCTTTTCAAAAGGAATCATAACCCCATACAAATAGTTTAATGTGAATAGAGTCGAAACATGTATGCATAGTAAATATGTATATGGGATTATACGGAAATCTTACCAACTATTTCAATTTTTAATGTCTCTCAACAGGACACTGAGAAGAGAACCTACCTTGCTTTTTAACGCTTAAACTGCAGGGCAAGCCACAGATAAAATTCATGGACTTTCAAACAACAACAGTAATAATAATAATGACTTTTTACACGGGTCGAAAAATTGGATTTACTGTGCACTTTTGACGCGCATCTGAAGGTAAAGTCAAATATGGTTTTGACTTCACCTTTGATGCACGTCAAAGATAAAGTCAAATGCATCAACGCCTTGCTATTTCTTTAACGCTAGTCAAGGGCGTTGTCAAATATGCTGGTAGCCTTTGACGCTCGGTAAATCCATGTTTTCGTCCCGTGTTAAAGAACGTCCACAGGGGATTGGGGGGAGAGAACTTAGGAGCCCAACACACCCCTCCCCGTACATTTTCGTGCCTAATATCCTCTTAGATAGTATGAAGCAAAAGTGTTGTCATGGGCTCATATTTCGAGCCATCTCCCTGACCTAGCCATCATCATCGCGTTAAATTGTCAATCGAGGTTTCTAAATAAGAATTTATTTAACTTCAAACGTTTATTCTTACTTGCTCACCAGGTTGCCGAACCAGCTAAGCACAACATGTGCTGACTAAGTATTGAACTTAGAATTGACTGCCAAGCCGTGGAAACTAAATAAGGCCATTTGTTTATAGTTAAACTTACCTTCGACCACTGCAGTTGTTTTCTTGAGAGTTTTCTTAAAATTTAGAAGAAGAAACAAGTCTTCAAATCGGCGAGTTGTTCGGCTTGGTGCAAAACAATTAATAAAATTTTTGCATAAATTACAGACGACGACTTCACCATCATAAATATTAAAAATAGCACGCTTTTTGCGACGAGCCAATGTGGACAGGCGAACAAAAGAATCAAGCGAGGTTTTAAGAAATTTTTCTACAATCTTTTATTAGCGAGGGCTTTTTCGAGAAAAGTAAGGCAGCTTATGATGTTATCTTACTCTTTAAAGTGACAGATCAGAGACAGGGAAAGTTACCTTCCAAACCTAAAAATAAAGAAACGATTTAGAAAGGAATTTTCTAGTAACATGTAATTTAAAAACTGAAATCAGTCTTACTGAGAGAAACTGGTACATATCCAAGCGACGGTTACTTCTAAAGATGTAATAATTAATAATAATAATAATAATAATAATAGCGGGTCTTATTACGGATTTCGCGTACGCCTTAATGCGTTCACAAAAATGTCTAAAATGTTAGTAAATTAAATGGTACTAATATTAAATGTACATGAAATTTTCTATGTCTATCTGAAATAGTTTTTAAAATAAGAAATAATGATGATAGAGAAAAATCAAAATAAAATAATATTAAACTTGTTCTATGGTCCGTAACAGGCAACTGACAAAATGTCTGTTTGAAGAGGAATGCGTGTACGGGGCGCTCAGTGCTCGTTTGATCTAAGTATTTCCTAATCCTACCTACATTTCGCAGTGCAAGACTATGCTGAGCTGCAAATACTTTTGACGTGGCTTGAATTCCTGAGGTAGCTATCAAAAATGATTCCCAGATTACGAGCTTTCTTACTGATAATGCTGACTTAATTTAATACTAGAATAAGAAAGTGGATGGGTTAGTTTTCTTAGGATTGCAACTAAGCATATTATCTGCGAAAAATGCTTGAACATCACGCAGGTGTTGTTCGAGATTGGTAATAGTGGTCTGCCTATCTTCTGGATTTACAGTTATGTAAACTTGGGAGTCATCGGCGTACATCATGCAGTTGAGGACGTAGGATTCTATAACGGTCTCTGAGTGGAGCAAAATATAGTATGAATAACAGGGGTCCCAGAACAGACCCCTGTATGTTGGAACATACGAAAGGTCAAGTTATATAGGGGGTGAAATGCGTTTATATTTCGTTTAGATCCAAGTCAAATTTAGACGGATTTGTATGGAGTCATCAGAGCACAACTGGGCTAATATCTCAGTGACAGCTTTCTCAGAAATGCTAATTTTTCACAAGTATCCGTCTTGAACACTGTTCCGTCAGAATATCGTGACAAATCCCATGATTTCACAAATTTAATTTTTATGACGTCATCACTTTAGAAGTCTATTAAAGAACGATTATATTTTGTTTACCGCCGGCAATAAGTGATTTGTGTGTATGTGGTTTTTTTTCTATTTTTCCTGAAAGAAAGTCTAATCATATCTCTTGATATTTTTCTTTCAGAATCCCTAGTATGCAAACGTTATATTCAGTTCAGCTTCGACACAAAAACGTGGAACTCACCGCAAATAATCAGATGCAAAGCAAATTTAGCCCGCTCAAACGTCAGTGTATCTCAGCAACACGTAAACAAAGCTACATTCCGGAAAAAAAAAAGATCTCTATTTAAAGGATATGATTACTAATCAGGCCTGATTAACGATATATCCTAATTACCTTTAGACACAGGATTTGTGTCAGCTGTTGTGTGGCACTGGTCGGCACGAACAAAATGAAATTAACCGCTCGAGAAGTATTTTGGCTAATAATTTTCTTAGCATTCCTTTATTATATTTATAGAAACCTACAGTTGACCAGTTTGGTGTCTAGAATGGGGAATAGACCTGTGAATTGCAAGGAAAGGGCCAAGGAGATTCAACAGTTAGTGGACTTAGCACATGAGGTGCATAATGTACTTGACGAACTTGGAATTAAACACTGGTTGATGTTTGGATCACTTTGGGGCATTCAAAGAAAACTCTACAATCCACTTCCTTGGGATGATGATGTAGATATGGGGCTCTCTGGAGATGATATCCGCTATCAGAGTCTGTCTCGGGAGAAATTTCTGTCAGCCTTTACAGCCAAGGGTTTTACATTAAAAGAGAAACTGGACCAAAATGGTATTATGGCTATATACAACCAACAGATATGTCCTTTCGGCTGGGTCGATATCTACATCTTTTATGATTACCGTGGTACTATGAAGCGAAAAGGCTGGGAGACATGGCTCGTACCTATCAACTATAATCTTTACTCTTCCTTTCCCTCACGCGCTGTAGAGGGGTCTCTACCCAAGGCTCGATTTGGTGATTTTGAAATGTTCGTACCCAAAGATATACTGCTTGTTCTTAAAAGTGTATATCCTTTCAGTTGGTGGGTTGTAGACAAACCACGAAACTGTATAAACCAATAGATTACAGTAAAAACCCACCAGCATCAACTGCATTTTCTCGAGTAAACCTAAACAGGTTCTTACATAAATCTGATGGCAATTACCAAAAAAGTTAGGATATCTTTTTCAAAGGAAAACTTCTGTAGAAGAACTCCTTTCTTCGGATAGTTTGACCTTTCCAGATCTGAATATTATAGTGATAGATTAATATAAACAAGGAATCCGTTCTGTCAAATTTACTTTCTTGCTTTGCGCGCTCTCTTTCCGCTTCTAAAACACTGCATCAAATTCTACTGGCCGATGATAGACTTTTTTAACGTACTGAAAACAACATTTTCGTATCTCCGAAAAGGAATGTATATATTTCAAACTTTAGTATCCTTTAGTGAAATAATAATATGCTGGAATTAACAACAACTTCGAACATAATGTGAAGCGAAGCGTGCGTTCCATTTTTACACATAGAGTGGAAGCCTATGTGGAAATCTACTGTATTGAGAAAAAATGTAGTTTTATACAAAAAAAATATTCTTCAAACGACGGCGAGAACATGCAGTCACAATTCTTTTCATAACTCTTAATATTTTCCCGCGAGGAGAACTGCAAAGACCAGTATGACGACAAAGGCAATTTCATATCCTAGTGTTGCCTTGTGCAAAAACAAACCTCGAGGACGATTTTCATGAAACTTGTTTTACTTGCGCAACCGTTTCACAGTTTCACACTGACAGAGCGTCTAGACCGCAATGGCATTGTGGGTATATTCAATGAACGAATATGCCCCTCCAGCCAGAATACTACGGCTAGAATCTACTGTTGTAAATCACCGATGAAATCATTGGGCGGCATTTTTGAGCGCAAGCAATGCTTACACATTGCTAGACGAACCAGACGGAAATTTCAACTGCAGTTTGAGCCTCCATGTTGAAAACACCACATGCTGCGTATTAAGGGTCTGCAATGGTTAATGGGATTTTCCAAACGCGAGCAAAGGCGGAAAAATCGTAAAAAAAAAAAACATGCTATCAGACGTGACTCGACTCATGAGTGTCATGGGCCACAGAGTAAACGTCTATCAATTATACCCGGACCTATATCCTTTACCTCGCAACTGCGAAAAATGGCGTAGCCAGCCAAGCCATACTATAACCTCACGCATGACCAACCCCACCCCACACGCACGCACACACACACACAAACACACACATTTTATTTGTCTTTTACAAAGATTGAAGTACAATTGTAACATGCCCGTGGGTAGCTATGCTAATTTAGACGGGTCATGTTCTCAGGAAATAAGTACAGCTAAAAGTAACAAGTTGACATAATAACTAGAGAATACTAATGCAATATTAATAATGACAACACAGTTATGACTCGCTAAACTTCATTAATCAGATTACAACCACCAGTTACTAAGAGGAAAATAAATTCAACTTAACCTTTTGGACGATTTCGGAGAGATCAGAACCCCTAAGAACGTAACGTCTGCGGGGAAGGTTAGCTAAGCCAGGAGTTCTACACATTTAAAAATATGAGGCTGACTGTTCGGAAATCATTGAGGCTGTTAAGTTTCTTAATCGTTCTTTATTATACTTATAGAA